CCCCAGCAGTTCCGATCACGCCAACATCTGGAGAACTGGCCGCTGGTTTGTCTGCGGCTCGGGGTGGGGATTTGCATATAAGTACAAATATATATGCACACCCTGGGCCTTCCACCCCCACATTCCTTGGCTGGCCCTTCACACCTGGGCCTGAGACAGGTCCACTTAGTGGTTGGATTTGCATGCGCGTGTATTTCTGGGTAGGGAGTCAGCTGGGGGAGTCTGAGAGGAAGTTGTTGAGGGAAGCTGTGGGGAGTTCAGACGTGTCTCTTTTGACCTGCTCTATTCACCAAATCTACTCAGTCACCCTATAACCCCTTATAGGGGTTATAAGAAACCCCTATATCTTATCCTGAGGGGTTTCCAGTCTGGAGGAGACGGAGCTGGATATACAGATTTCCAGCCCCGTGGGGTCAAAACTGAAAGGAAGGCTGGGCTGTCACAGTCCAGACTGAGGGCAGGGATGGCTTCCTGGAGGGATGGAGTTTTTGAGCTGCCATTCGAAGCGTGAAGAAGAAATGGCCAAGAGCCCTGATCAGTGTAGCTCAGCTGGTTGGGTGTCATTCTGCAAAGTGAAGGGTTGTCAGTTTAATTTCCAGTCAGGACACATGCTTAGGTTGTGGGTTCAGTCCATTGTCTAGGCACATTTGAGAGGCAGCCAGTGGGTATCTCTCTCTCTCACACAATGATATTTCTCTCCCTCTCTTTCTCCCTCCTTTCCCTTCTCTCTAAAGAAATAACTAAATAAAACCATTTAAAATATATATAAGATCTATCATTTAAAATTTTTAAATTTATTTTTGTTTTTTTAAGATTTTATTTATTTTTTAGAGAGAGGAAGGGAGGGAGAAAGGGAGGAAGAGAAACATCGATGTGTGGTTGCCTTCCACACACCCCGCACTGGGGACCTAGCTCACAATCCAGGCATGTGCCCTGAATGGGAATCGAACCAGAGACCCTTTGGTTCACAGGCCAGCACTCAATCCACTGAGCCACACCAGCCAGGGCTAAATAAATAAAATCTTTTTTAAAAAAAGAGTTGGCCAGGCGAAGAAGGTGCTAAAAGGCTTTCCAGGCAGAGACAACCTGCTTGTTGAAGGCAGAGGAAGGTGGGCAGGGGCTGACTGGGGCAGGGCCAGGCTGGGAGCTGAAACTTTCTCCTGATGGCAGTAGGGAGCCATGAAGACTGTGTGAGCAGGGAGGGTCAAATCAAAGCTTTCTGTTGGGTTGATCCCTCAGAAGCCAAAGCTGGGGATGCTTTTCGTTCCTGGGTGAGGACTGGGGGTTCCAGGGTCATTGAGAGTCAGAGGAGTTAAACCCCTGTGTGAGCCCATGGGTGCCTGTCAGGCCCGGCCCCAGAAATGGCGAAGGAGCTGGTGCCTTCTGGAGGACCCAAGAAACCCTGGAGTGCAATGACTTCACCCCCAGTCTCTGCCCAAGTGGATGCAACCTTGGCCTCCCCTCCAGCATTCCGCCATCTCTACCCTGCACCCCCTCCCCATGGCAGCCATGGAAAAACATTTCAACGGTAAATCAGACTTTGTCCCTTCTTACTCAGCCCCTCCCATGGCTCTCCGTCACTCTTAGACTCAAACTCTCAGCCTTCCCCACAGCTCAGAGGACCCAGAGTGGACCTGCCTCTGCGACCTCTCCCTTGAGCTTCAAGCTCCAGCCTTGTTGCCTTGTCTGTCGTCCCCCCTCAGGGCGTTTGCACCTGCTATTCCTTCTGTCTGCAACTCATTTCCTGTCTTGGCTCTTGGGTCTCAGTTCAGAGAGACCCCCTTGACCTTTTGGCTCTTGGGGCTCCCCCATTATGTGTCCCCTGCCATAGCAAGGATATCCTTGTCTAAAATGGGGACGGGCTGAGAAGTCGGATATTCCAGGCTCAGATTCTCAGGTTCAAGTCCTGTGTTCCCATGGGACCCTAGGCGTGGGGGGCATTTCCGGAGTCATCTTGGCACTGGGACCTCCGGACCAGTGCCCCCGTCTGCCCCAGGGACCCATCAGGGCGAGAGCAACACATCCCAGTCGTGGGAACTCGCCTGATTCCAGCCAGGGATTAAAATTAGCCCCAGAGGTTAAATTTAGCAAATCAATCTGGAGCTACGGGGCTGGCTCTGGGGCTGTCATCGGCCAGGCTCTGCGTAGTTGTGACTGCTCAGAAAGCCGGTCCGGGGAAGGTAGAGGGCACTCCCAGGATCTCACGGCAGACCACGTAGGATGGCATCTTCCACTCCTGGGCCCTGGGCCCCGGGAAGCAGATGTGGCTGCTTGTGAAGACAGACCTACAGTGCCGTCCACTTCCCTACTCTTCCCCGGAGCGTGTTTGCAGGTCCGCGCCGCTGCTCTGCATTTCATACCCAGCGCACTCACAGAACAGCAGTGTGAGGCCCAGGGAGAGGCGTCCCTTCCTGAGGGCTGCCCAGTGGGTCAACACTGGCTAGGACCTGAGCGCAGGTCCACCTACCCTGGGCAGGCCTGTGATACGGCCTCAGTCACCTGTGACATGGAAGCAGCTTGGGGTAAAGCGTGGTCACAGAATTGGTGGAGGGGTGTCAGGGATCTCGGGGGCCTTGGGGTGGCTCACTGTACGGCATGATGGGTGCCACTCAACAGGCAACACGATTTCTTCTTTCCAGGGATCTCTGTGTGGTGGGCACTGGGGGGGCTCGGACCCCAACATGCTCCTTGTTTTAGAGACGTGCTGCTTTGCCTGAGTGGTCCATTCTCACCCCTGGGGACTCCACTGGGGGGATCTGAGATCCCCATGAGGAGGGCCTGAGGTGTCTCCCAAACTGCTCTGGGTCCGAAGTATGTACGGGCTGAGGACTCCAAGCCTGAGGCCTTTCCAGGGTTTCCCCACCTCCTCCCGGCAGAAGGTGAGGCAGGGTTGGTTTCTGTTATTTAAAAAAAGATTTTTAACCAGGGCGAGTGGCTCAGTTCGTTGGGGAATCGGTCGCCCAGGGAGTGCGTGCGGGTGGTGGGTGGGGTATGACAACCAATTGTGGTCTCTCTCTCTTTCACATCAGTGAACATGTCCTCAAGTAAGGATAGAAAAATAAATAAATAAAGTGATGAAAAAATGTAACAGAAAGGGTCCATAATCACTAAGGAGAAAGGTTAGAAAATTCAGGTCGCTAGTTCAATTCCCGGTCAGGGCCCAGGCCTGGGTTCCAGGTTCAGGGCACGTAGAAGGACAGGCAGCCTTTGATGTGTTTTTTCTCTCTCTCTCTTTCTCCCTCCTTTCCCCTCTCTCTAAAAATAAATTAATAAAATAGTTTTAAAATATTTTTATTTTTGATTTTAGAGAGAGGGGAAGGGAGGGAGATAGAGAAGGAGAGAAACACTGATGTGAAAGAGAAACCTCAGTTGGCTGCCTTCCTGAAGTGCCCCTGCTGGGAACTGGCCTGCAACCCAGGCACGTGCCCTGACTGGGAATTGAACCGCCGTAGTTTGGTTTGCAGGCACATACCCTAACTGGGAATCGAACCAGTGACCTTTCAGTTTCAGGGGACAATGCCCAACCAACTGAATCACATCAGCCAGGGCAATCAATAAAATCTTTAAAAAATATATCATCACCTGAAGGTATATATATATATATTTTAAATATTTTATTCATTTATTTTTAGAGGGGACAGGTAGGAGAAAGAGTGGGAGAGAAACATCAATGTGTGGTTGCCTCTCACGTGTCCCCAACTGGGGACCTGGTCTGCAACCCAGGCATGTGCCCTGACTGGGAATCGAACCGGTGACCCTTTGCTTCACAGGCCCGAGCTCAATCCACTGAGCTACACCAGCCAGGTCTGAAGGTATATTTTTAAAATAATTCTTTAAAACATGAAAAAAAAAGACACAAAGAGTCATGCGTTGGTATGGTTCCATTTACATGAACTGTCAGTGGTTGCTGGGGCGTCGGGAGGGGGTGGGGAGTGACTGCTCATGGGAATGGGGTCTCTTTTGGGGGGAATGAAAAGAATTTGGAACTAGTTAGAGGTGATGGTTCTACAACATTGTGAGTGAACTAAATACCACTGAATTGTGCCCTTTAAAATGGTGAATTTCGTGTGTGAATTGCACCTCAGTTTTTTTTTTTTTTAAGATTTTATTTATGTGGAAAGGGAAAGAGAGGGAGAGAGATATCAGTTTATGGTTGCCTCTCGTGTGTCCCCTGATGGGAACTGGCCTGCAACCCAGGCATGTGCCCTGACTGGGAATTGAACCTCGGTTGTTTGGTTTGCAGGCCCACACTCAATCCATTGAGCCACACCAGCCTGTAAATTTCCATCAGATGGTGTCTCTCATAACAAGCTTTTCCTTTTAGTCTTTTTTCCACACTCAGTGCAGTTTTTAAATGTATGTTTGTTTGTTTGTTGCCGGGGTGGGGTGGGTGACTGCAGCCCTTGATCTTGTTGGGCAGGGGGGCTTTTGTGTGTTGTATGAGTTGAAAGGTCCCGGTGAGCGGCCCAGGCAGTTTCGAAGGCTCAGGATTGCTGAGTGCTGGCTGCATCGGGTGTCCCTCTCACCTGGCCTGTTGAGGGCTTTTAGGCTGTTGCCAATATTCCTAAAAGTAGCACATATGTGGCACCTGCTATGTGCCAGGCAGGTGTAGGTTAGCTCATTTTGTCCCCAACAAGAATGAGCAGTACACAACACCGTCACCCCTACTGCACAGGTGGATGTCCAGGGAGGTCAGTCTTCCTCAGGTACCACAGTTACCGGGGGTGATTTTTTAGATGCTGGGACAGGAGCATCTGTACCTCCATCTTTAGCTCTGGGTCAGCCTTGTCCTCACGTGGAATTGGTGCAAAGCTGTTCATTGGGCATCTACTGCATTCTGGGCTGGCTGAAAACGGGCGGTGTGGGATGGCCCAGCCTACCTGGGTTTCCCCGTCACCTCAGCTCAGAGCCGGCCGGGGAAGGTGGAGCGGAGAAGAAAGGCTGGTTGCCTGGGCCCCCTATCCACCCACACACTCCATCCTCTTTTTTTCCTCCCCCAGACCAACGGTGCTCTGCCCAGCCTAGGACAATGGGGAGGAAAAAAATACAGATCTCACGCATTCTGGACCAAAGGAATCGGCAGGTGAGTTCACTGGGTGGAACAGTGGTTGTGGGAAGGCATTCCTGGCGGGGGACGAGGCCTGGGCAAAGGTCTGGTCGTTTTGAGGAACTGTAGGGGAATGAGTCCTGATGCCAGGTCTGAATTTTGAAACATAGCATTTGCTCACTTTCATGATTTATGGAAGCCCTGATCACAGAGGAGATGGAACTTGACACAAACACACTCAACTCAGAGGGCTGGACCAGAGGGAGGCACAGAACTGGGGAAGCTCAGGGGGGGTGTGTGGGCTCTGCCTAGGAGGCCGAGGAAAACATCCCAAAGGGGAGGTCAGTTGGGCTGGGTTTTGAAGCATCAGTAGAAGTTTGCCAGATTGACAAGTGATTTGTACAGCCAGAAAGAACGGCCTGTGCAGAGGCACAGAATCATGAGGTGTGTTCAGGAAACTGTTAGGCCCCTCCCCAATGCCACTTCAAATCCTTGTCTTCTCTTGCTCACCTGTGGGTCCTGGGTCTAGGTGACATTTACCAAAAGGAAGTTTGGGCTGATGAAGAAGGCCTATGAGCTGAGCGTGCTCTGCGACTGTGAGATCGCACTGATCATCTTCAACAGCGCCAACCGCCTCTTCCAGTACGCCAGCACGGACATGGACCGTGTGCTCCTCAAGTACACGGAGTACAGTGAGCCCCACGAGAGCCGCACCAACACCGACATCCTCGAGGTACCCCGGGCCCTGCTTCCCGAGCCCATGAAGCCAGCACACTGTGCTGGCTCAGAGACTAGGGACTCTTGGTTTGTACAAAAGTGTTGCAATCTGGCTTTGCTGCCAGTTACAGCAGGTTTGGGGGTGATGGAGTGTCCCTCTGGGGTAGTTACCTGGATGGTAGAAATAAAAACATCAGTCACTGCACATGGATGGCTGCACTATGTGCCCCTCACACGCATCGTCTCATTTAACCCTGTTACCCATTTGGTGAGCACAGAACAGAAAATAAATAAAGGCGCAGTGGAGCAAGCAGACCTCACTGAAATCCAAGACCATGCAAGTCACTGGTCTCAGGTAGCTGAGGAAATCTTATAAAATTGTCCTCAGGTGCTCAGTTCCTTGACATTTGTTGAGCACCTACTGCATGCAGGCTCTAGAGTAATATGTAGATCGGGGTGTAGAGCCGAAGTAATTTTAGGACTGTATAAATGTAACTACTCCTTAACAGTTAAGGAGTTGAAATTACATTTGGCCCTTTGAAGGCAACCGCGAGGCTGATGTGGCCTCCGGTGAAAATGAGTTTGACACCCCTGATGTAGATGCAGAATGGAGATACCCAGGAAGAGTGTTGGGACACTCCTCCTGGGTATCTCAGGAGTTCTATTCAGGAGTGTTGGGACAGTGCCAGCAAGCCTCGGTGGGTCTCTGGTTTCAGGGCAGGACAGTCCCTCTCTTGCACACACTTGAAACTTACCAGATCACTCACTGGGGGCTTTGGTCAATGGGATTTTACTGGGACAGGCTGAACCTGCACTCTGCCCCACCCACAGAGCTGGGTAGGTCTCTCCCCTCACCCGTACAATCAGATTCCTGGCTAGGATGGGAGAAGTTTTACCGTTATGTTCCCTCCCTGCAGACACTGAAGCGGAGGGGTGTGGGCCTCGATGGACCAGAGCTAGAGTCAGATGAGGGACCTGAGGGGCCAGGAGAAAAGCTGCGGAGGCTGGCAGGTGATGGGGGTGATCCAGCCTTGCCCCGGCCCCGGCTCTATGTAAGTGACTCCCTGTCTTGCCATGACTGTGGCCCTCTCCCCATCTCCTAGGCACATATGGTCAAGGTTAAGACTGAAAAAGGGCCAGGAAGCCTAGAGTTTAGTGGTAGGTCTCTGTCTGGATAGGCAGGAAAAGCTTCCTGGAGGAGTGGGCATTGTAGCTAGGGCTTTGAAGGATGAATAAGAGTTCAATAGTCCTTCCTTCCTTCCTTTTTTCTTTCTTTCAATCTTTCTTTCCTTCCTTCCTTTTTCTTTTCTTTTCTTTTCTTTTCTTTTCTTTTCTTTTCTTTTCTTTTCTTTTCTTTTCTTTTCTTTTCTTTTCTTTTCTTTTCTTTTCTTTTCTTTTCTTTTCTTTTCTTTTCTTTCTCTTCTTTCTCATTCATCAAACACCTGGGAGGCCTATGCTGAGTGAGAAGCTGCAGCCCTGGGCTTGGCTGTTGAGGAGAAACAGATCCAGACACAGGCGTGCCCAGCCATGTGAGATTAGGCCACAGGGAGGAGTAGTGAGGGCTTCCGTAAGGTGGAGACTGGCCCTGAATGCATTGGGATATTGTCTTGGGCTTGATGCTCTCACCTCCTCATTCCTCCAACCAATTCTGTCCTCTCTGCCCTCAGCCAGCAGCCCCTGCTATGCCCAGCCCAGACATGGTATATGGGGCCCTGCCCCCACCAGGCTGTGACTCCAGTGGGCTTGGGGAGGCCCTCCCTGCCCAGAGTCGCCCATCCCCCTTCCGGCCAGCAGCCCCCAAAGCTGGGCCCCCAGGTAAGCATGAGGCTCAGGCAGAAGCGGAGGGGAGAGGCAGGGGAAAGTGTCCCAGGGGAGTATATGGGGGTGGGGACCTTGGCTCTAGCCCTGCTTGGCTGTGTTTATCACCTCTGGACCTGAGATTTCAGTAGATGACATGTCTGCCTGCCCCCTATCTGGGGGTCTCCTGCTCCACAGGCCTGGCCCACCCTCTCTTCTCACCGAGCCACCTTGCCAGCAAGACACCACCACCCCTGTACCTGACAGCTGATGGACGGAGGTCAGACCTGCCTGGTGGCCTGGGAGGGGGCCGAGGGGGACTGAGCACCTCGGTGAGTGAGGGAAAGGAGTGTCAGGGCTGCAGGGGGCAGGCAGGGTGGCCTGAGTGTGGGCCTCAGTTCCCCCTTCACCCTTTCTCCGCACAGAGAGGCCTCTATGGCAGCCTGCAGAGTCCATGCTCTGCGGCAGCTCCAGGACCCCCACTTGCAAGCTTCCCCTTCCTCCCAGCAGGGCCCCCAGGTATGTGCCCCCCACAGCCCTGCCTGCTGCACAGCCCACACTCTCCCACCCACCACCTGGAAACTGGCTAGTGGAGGCCTCAGTTTACCCCTCCTGCCCCCCCAGAATATGGCCTTGGAGACCCCCCTCCGCCCCCGGGCTTGCTGCAGCCCCCTACCCTGGCCCCCTGGCAGCCCTCGAGGGGTGATGGGCCCCTAGCCGCCGCTGCCCAGCCCAGGTAAGTGCCCTGTCTGACTCTCCTACTAGTCAGGCTCCGCGGTGGGGCCTCTCCACGTCTTCCTAAGCCCCTAGCCACTGCTGACACCTGGTGGCCACTCCTGTTCCTGCACTCAGCCCTTCAGGAGTGCTGGCGGAGGTGGGGGTGGGGGGGCGGCTATTTTGGAGGCCCCAAGAGAGATGACCACCCCCTCCTTTCCCAAGGTCCTCCTGCCGAGCCTTTGCCCAAAACGTGCCACCTCCTGGTTTCCCTCCCTTCTTTCCTCACAGAGCTCACGGCTGTCTCTCCCTTCTCCTCTCTTTGCAGTGGGGGCCGCAGCTTGGGCGAGGAGGGTCCACCACCGCGCGGTGCCTCCCCAACGACCCCCCAAGTCAGCATCAAGTCTGAGCGCCTCTCTCCAGCACCCGGGGGCCCTGGCGACTTTCCCAAGACCTTTCCCTACCCCTTGCTCCTGGCCCGGCCCCTGGCAGAGCCCCTGCGGCCCGGGCCCCCACTGCGCCGGCTACCTGCTGCGGACAGCTGGCCTCGGTAGTGGACTTGGGGGTGGCACTGGCGCCCCCTATGCCCGGCTGGGCGAAGTCACGTAGGCTCACCCCCTTTCTCCCTGTGTCTTTAGAGAAGACCCAGTGGATACAGCCCCCTCCACTCTGGGGGCCTGGAGGAGGAAGGCTGGGTTGGGATCCATGGTCGTGGGGCTTGGTTTCCCCTTCCTGAGTGTGCACCCACCAATAAAACGTGCGTGGCCTCTGTGGACGAAACGATCTGTCGCTGCTCAGAGCCACCCCTACCCGAGCCGAGATCCTCCCACCTCCTCCCCAGTTGCCTCAGTCCAGCCTTGTCTGGGATTGGGGTACTCCCACCATGATTCCCCCCTGAGATGAGGATTCAAGCGTGGGTGGGGTATGGGGAGAAATTCCTAGGGCGGGATGGCACGTGGGGACAGGAGCTCTGCAAGGGACACAAACGAGCACGTGACAGCAGCAGGGCACCAGGGCTGGGCCTTGGGGAACATGTGGAGTGTGCCTCTAGAGGTTCCATCCCCAGTGAGGGGCATGGCTATTTACCCTCAAAATTTTGGGGTGACCGACATGGTAGGCTCAGGGGCAAGTCCCCAGGCTGGTCACAATTGCTTGTAGCAAAAAGCAGCTGAGAAACTTGAGTGTTGGGGTACTATGCTGTTTCTCTTTTAAACAGCTTGTCCCTTGATCCCTTGATTCCAGTTTTGTTCCACAGATGGGAGGAGGGAGCCTGGTGGCTACCCACTTACTCTGAGGTGCTCACTATACTCCCCCCACTCCCGCCCTGGCCTGTCCCATGTGTGGGCAGACTTGAGGGTCCAGTAGCCCAAGGGAGCTCTCTCTGCTCACCCCACCTCCAGTCACCTTGCAGGTGGTCTCAGTGAGACCTTTATGACACTCAGATCAGACCCTTGACAGTCACAGGCCCTCAGCTGCCCCACCTACTCTGCCCCTGTCCCCCACACTGTGCCCTGTCCTGACTCCCCTAGAAACACTTGCAGTTTCAACCCCAGGGCAATGCTAGTGCTTCCTCCTGGACCACCTCCCTCAACCCCCAACTCGTTTTTTTAAAAGACTGCTTCCTACCCTCCACGGCCTAACTCCACATCTGCCCCTCCAGGAAGGCCTCTGCACTGCTAAGTCAAGCAGACAGAGGGTTTGTTGAGGGCAAATACCCATTTGCACAGGAATGTGAACACAGAATATTGGCATCAGTGCTTAAAAGATGTGTCCTCCCTCCACCCCCACCACTGCGTTCTACAGAGATCCAAAGCTGATTGGTTCAGCTTGGTTGTTGAAGACTCTTGTCCCCTCTTGTCACCCCAGCACCACACAGGGGTGCTTTTGCAGTAAACTCCAATGCCTTGCATCCCACTGTTCGTGCACAGTCACAGATGGTGGATAAACAGGGGAAGCATGTGCAAAACAGGCTTCAAAGTCAGTCCCAGTCCCTGGAACTCAGCGCCTCCTCTTCTGTAGTACTCATTTCCCCACCAAGACTTAGGGCTGACTCCTTCCAGGGGTGGGGAGAGGGCAGAATATGTAAGGTGGCAGAACTTTCTGTGAGGTGGGGCACTCTAAGTGGTGTGTGTAGAGAATCAATACCCACATGCCAGACCCCAGCTGGGCTTTGTCCTCCACGGGCCTTTGAGTCCTTGACACATCATCCCCAGTAAAGTAGGGGCTTTGGGGCCCCAGTTTCCAGGGCAGGGACATGGCATGATCAGGTCTCCCCTCCTGAGGACTCCCACCCCCCACCATGGGGCAATGGGCAAGAGCAGCAGGAGGCTGAAGTGCTGGGAGGGAGGTGTGTCTGGGGCAAAGCCACCAGGATCCCTGGATGGCTCTAATGTGGGGGTAAAGAGAAGAGGGTGCCATGGACAACTCACGGCCTCTGACCTGGATGAGGGCGTTAGGGGGCCCCACCTGAGCTGGGAGGCCTGCAGACAATACAGAGGGTGTAGGGTGAACTCAAGGCCTCTCTGTAGGGTGCCCAAGTTAGGCTGGGGAGTCCTCTCACCCAACTCAGACTGAGGCCCTAAATGCTCCTCACCTGCTCCCCTGTGCCCCAGCCCAGCCTCAGAGGAGTGAACCCCTGCCCCCACGTCAGCCCGTAACAGTGGGCTCTGGGATCCAAGCCACGCAGACACCCTCCGCCATCCCCAGCAGCACCATCAGCACTGGCGTGGTGGTTACCTCGAGGGTGCAAATTCTCCACCTTCTGGGGATCCCCTCCTTCGGGTCACAAGGACCTTGGCTATCTCCATGGGGTGGATAAACTTCCCACCTGGTGGAACTCACAGTGTCATGGTCACAACCCCTTATACAACCATGCATAGGACCCTGGGGGGACACTGAGGCAGAGCCAGAGAGAGTCCCTTTGCAGCCTCTGAGTCTCACCCTCGCAGTGGACAAGAAGCCAGGCCAGTCTCTGAAGTCTGTGCTCACAAACTAAATGCTCACTGTGGAGTTCATAAAAACGTGGGCTCCTTCAAAGACTGGGGGAACCCCAGGGCAAGTGCATGGAGCCTGCACTTTTGCCATCTGCCATTAGGTGGCGCCCAAAAAGTGCTTTGGATTCTGAGCTTCCCACTCAATATTTTAAGATAAAACAGAAATAGTAATATACACATAAAATCTATCTTGGCTTCCAGGGCCTCCACCCCATGTCTTCAGGCTTCCAGCCTGGGACTCAGAAAAAGGCTGTGTCATGTGGTGAGTGTGCGTGATTATGCATCTACAGCATGTGATGTCCCAACCCACGCAGGAACAGTGGGCAGGCTACTGGGTTCTAGAAAAACCTCTGCATCCAGACCCTGGATGTGTCCCTTGGGGAGGAAGCATGGAGGGTTGTATGGAAGTTTCCTACCACCAGCCTTAAGGACACCATGGTGAGCCAATGTTACAGTTGGAGTGCCCCAAGTCCTCTAGGAGCTCAGTCAATGGTTGGAAACTCCATGGGAATTGTGACCTGGACACAAACACAGTGAAGGGGGTTGTATATCTGAGAGATGCATTTTTTAGAGTACCGTGGTATAAGAGGCAGTGTGGAATGAGAGTGGATCTCAGTATGGTCACAGAATGTGGGACGTTAGTTTGGACAGAGATCATCGGTAAGGATCGGGGGCATGGGATGCCCAATGGAGAGAACAGAGACCAAGGAGCGTCCAGTGGAGAACACAGATGTTGAACAAACAATGAAAAATGGAGTGCAGAGACCTTCCAATGTACAAGAGAAGACTTTGGTTTTGTTTGAGTGAGTTGGGAGTCATGGATGGTTGCGAACAGAGGAGGGATGTGTCTGGCTCAAATGTTAACAGACATAACAGACATGAGAAAACAGACTGTGGGGTGGGGAATAAAGAATGGAAGCCAGAGACCAGGGAGGAGAATGCAGGCAGGAGATGATGGAGGCTGAATTGGGTGGAGGTTGTGAAGGGAGTGAGGCTGGGTGGAAGTGGGTTACACTTGGAAAGTAGTGCCATCAAGAGGAGCTAACAGATTAGGTGTGGGGTAAAGGAGGAATCAAGGCCAACTCCAGGGTTTGTGGATGAGGACCAGGAGGATGGAGAGGCAGTGGAAGGAAGATTGGGAGCTTCTGGGGCCAGGATGTGTGTGAGTTGCCTGTGACTCAACATGTGGGGGCACTGTGACACCTGGACGCAGGAGTCCCTCCCATGCCTCAGGAAGAGGTAGAAGCAGAGATCTGAGCCTCTCAGCGCCTCAAGATTTTCAATTAAATGGAGACAAGTGTCCCACTACCCTGGCCTGCTGGAGGGAGTTCCAGTGTGGCATGTAGTGGGCCTGCAGCAAATACCCTCACGCCCCACCTTTTCTTTCCTATTCCCTCTTTTCTGACACCTTCCCCAATCCCATCTCCCCTGGATCTCATCTGTATGCCCTGGCCCTGAGGGGCACGTCATGACCCCGATGCAGGTCCTGATAAATCCCAGAGACCCTCACTACTTCTGTCATTGTTGTAGACGATCGGCGGGTAAATACACACTCTCGGAGTCCGGAACCGAATTGATAAAAATTTTAATGGCCAAAGATTTTCCTGCGCAGGGGCGAACTTCCCCAACTGTGACCGGAGTCACGTAGCTACTCAGAGCTACAAAATGGAAGTCGCGCCTGGCTTACAGACTACTGGGTATTTATATTTTCTAGCAAGCAAGCAAAGGCATACAGAAGCAGAGGTGGCGGTTAGCTATTGGCTTCTTTAAAAACGGCGAGGGTCCCTGATTGGTGGGTGCTGCTGCTGGCGGGCACTTTCTGGCGGCCGGGTTAGTTACCTTATTTGGCTAGAATTTTAAACCCAGTTGTTCCCGGATCTTTGTTCATTACCCTGTTCCAGGAACTGCAGATTTAGGGTTGGGTAATGCCCTAGCTGTAATTTTCCTAGCTGGGTATAACATCATTTTTCCTCTTTCAAAGGGACAAAAGTCACAGGGAATCCCATGCAAAAAGACAAAGACATCCACAAAGACAAAATCACCCATAGAAATAAGACAATCAACCATACAGGCTCTGCTAACAGGTACCCACCCCATAAAGACATTCCCCACCCACCTGTATATCACCACTCATGCAGACACACATCCATAGAAACAGATGACAAAACTTAGGCGCTTGAGCCCTTACTTCCATGCCTGGAAATATAGAGCATCAGATTTCTCTCTGTCCCTCTCTGGAACACGGCACCGCCTCCGCCCGCCCACCACCCCCGCCCAGCTCTAATGGTTCTTCTTTTGCCTCCATAACTTGTTTCCAAGCCCACGAAGCCCAGTTTGCTCACTTTTTCTACCCCTGTGAGTTTCTAAATAAACTTTTGTTTGCACTTGAAAGAAAGAAAACAAGATTCCTGTGGCTGATGTTTGATTCTTTTTTTTTTTTTTAAGATTTTATTTGTTTATCTTTAAAGGGGAGGGGAAGGAGAGAGGGAGAGAAACATCAATGTGTGGTTGCTTTTGTGCGTCCTCTGCTGGGAACTGGCCTGCAGGGAACGGGCCTGCAACCCAGGCATGTGTCCTGACTGGGAATCGAACCGCGATTGTCTGGTTCACAGGCCTGAGCTCAATCCACTGAGCTACACCAGCCAGGGCTGATGTTTGATTCTTGATCCAGCCATAACTGTAGTTGATACTATTTTTATAGTTTTCTGTTAGAGGAACCAAATTTTATCTTTTTTTGCTGCAGCCCATTTGAGTTGGAATTTATTCATTTGTTTGCTTGTTTGTTTAGGTTCACAACCAGAGTTTTGGAAGATAGAGATGAATAGGACTTTTGTCAAGTGAAAAAGATTGAGAAAGGAGTAATTCCAAGATGGAAGACAGCATTAACAGAGGCCTAGAGGTATGAGGTATAGAGTGGCTGGTGGCAAGCTGTACTATAAGATGCACAACCGTACTGGCAGCCAGTTGAAGTCAGGCAGAGGATTCTGAATTCAGGACTAGCACCTGAGCGTCTACTCAGTGGGAGCCATTTAATGTCCTTGATCAGGGGAGTTTCATGTTCAGAACTGTCCCACAGGAGACAGTGAGTGAGAGGACGAATGAATGTGTTGGCCGCAGACTTGTGACATAGGTCCAGATGACGAGCCTGAGCCTCAGGGCAGGAGGCCACTCAGGTGTCCCTGATACAGGCCTGATTCAACCTTAGTGTGAGCTCCTCCAGCGTCTTTGTACTACCACTTCCAGCATGCAACGCGAATAAACCCGGGTCCCCAGTGCCGTGCTCCGCATACAGGCCTGATGATTGGTCGCAAGGGTTGCTTGTCATACCAGAGTCGGGCTCCGATTGGTCGAGTTTCCATAAAATGCTCTGAGCCTGGACTCTGGGGTCCGTGTCCTGCATTCCAGCCGGCGACATGGTAAACGGGTGTCCTGAGGCTCGAGGGGACGGGGTTTCTTTTGTAGGGATTGGAGGCTCGCGCAGAGTGACGTGTGTCGCTCTCTGGGGTCAGCATCTCGCTGCGGGACATATGAGGGGTTCGAGGGTCTTGCCGAGGGTACTGGAATCCCCTGAACATTCTGGGGATCCTAGGCTCCTGGGATCCCCTGAGAGTACTGGGGACCTGAGCTTGTTCACGGCCCCGAAAGGGAGATCTGGGGTCCCTCTGGGACACAGCCTAGGGATGGGGTCCTGTGGGAGTGTGGGTGCTGCGCCGGCGAGTCCCTGTGGGTACTGGTATGTGCAGAAGGGCAGGGGGGGCCCTGAAAGGAAGGGGCCAGGCCCACGGGATCTGGGTGGCTTCAGGGCGGCAAGGGTCCCAGTTTGGAGACAGCACAGTTGGAACACTCAGGTCTCACGCGGCTCTGGGTCCACAATTTGAGTTTGTTGCTAAAATTTATCCCGTCCCTGTGTGCCAGGCTGGTGTCTAGCGAGGATGGGGACCCCCCAGCCCCTAGGGGTTTGCACTGGACAAGGGGAAACAGTCTGGAGGGGCCCAGTGGGAGACCTGACTCTGCCCGAGGCGAGGGGGGAGGGATGTCCTTAGGAGGAGTGTTGGCGGTGGGCCTGAAGTGAAAGCACTGAAGAAGCGGGTGCTTGAAAGTGGGAGTCGTTCTGGGCTGGGTGGAGATGCTACAGGCGGTGAAGGACGTGGCTCTCGGGACAGGAATGGAGGAAAGATCCAGGGAAACGCCCTGAACAGGGAAGGGAGTGGCAGGCTCCAGATCTTTGGTGATGTGCAGAGTGTGGACCCCAAGATGCTGCTGGTGGTGGGGTGTGAGAAACATCCCTGGACAGACCTGGGGGGTCCTTAGGTGGAGGACTCATGCCTTGCTTCTGTCCTTCTTAGCCTCCCTCTGGTCCTTTCTTCCTGTCCTGGGTACTGGGACCACAGTTCCAACTATGCGCCCCCTCCCTGGGAGGCGTGGGGTGGGGGGCGGTGCGCCAGGCATTGGAGTGGAGTGATCTGGAGCTGGGCCTGCCAGGCCTTGCGAGCTGTGGAGCGGAACTGCACGTTGGCCGTGAGACTGAGCAGCTGTGGGACGCCCTGGAGGAGCCACATGCTGTGTTCCTGGGAGTGAGGGGTGGGTGCTGGGCCCCCCCAAAAGGCCTGGGGAAGCAGGGGTCTGCAGGCTTGGCAGAGAGGTCCAGGCTGGGGGTGCAGCTCTTTTGGGGTCTCACTGGGCCAGGTCAGTGGTTAACACCCTGGCAGAGAATGGGGTTATGGGAGAGAGGCCCGCAGAGCGAGCAGAAAAGCAGGCAAGGGCACTCAGAGGCTGGGAAGTTTGCAGAGCGTTGGTGGGAGGCATTGGGGGTCCACAGAGGAGAGAAGGGGTCCTGGGGGAGAAGGGTGGGTGGGAAGCTTGGCCCTCAGGACTTGGGAGTGCCCAAGACAATGCCAGGGTCACTAGTGCCTGCTGGCCAGTTTGTACTTGGTGGGGGGAGGGTGAGCAATGAGAGTAGATCAGTGAGATGCAGAGATCAGAAAGATGGCACCCCACCCTCGTTACTGAAAAAAATACTATGGTCTCAGTGTACAAGTCCCACGATAGAGAAAATATCCAGTGATCCAGTGAGTCAGTTATTTTAATGATGCATTTCTCAGCCGTCATTCCAAATTACAGTGCTAGGCCTGACATTTACCCCACTGGAACTTTTCCTTTTACAGTTAGCTTAGTTGTGCCTGATTAGGGATAATTTAAATAATTAATATTAATCTATTTCATTTTAGTGGTTAACTATAATGCCATAATACTAGTAGATAACTCTCCTGAGCACGTTTTACATAATTACATAATTACTGATAGCACATCAGTATTTTCTACATTCAAATAGCTTCCGACTGATTACCAAAAAACATTTCTCCTAAAGTGTTTTAAAATAAGCACGTGAAACTATGTTATAGATTTTTGTTTAAAAAGTTTGTGTATAGAACTTGGTGAGAAAATGCCCAGTGAGAAAACAGTCACCCCACTCAAAGGGCTGAGTCTGTCCCGGAACAGGTAGCAGCTGGCCAAGGAGGTTGATGACAAGGGGAGGTGCAGAGAGGAGAAGTGGGTGACGCAACCACCGGGGTGAAGGGTGGAGATAGAAGCTTGCCTGAGACAATTGGTGCCAAAGCTGGGACCATGGTGGAAGAGGAGCCCTTTTCAATGGGTGCACCGGGGTCGTTGTAGGCCCTGCAGGCAGTCACAATGGGAAGCACTTTGTTTTCAGCTGATGAAAACCAGGCTGGGGAGATTAATACCTGAAATCCATGGCAGGGACTGGAAGCAAACCTGTCCGCGCCTGTCTCTGCCCCAACACATGCTCTCCATCCCCCAGCCAGGTGTGGGGTTCCATGCTCAGCAGAGGCTCCGGGGATTGGGTCTGACCTCACCCCAGTCCTCTTCCCCCAAGATGCATCTGGAGCCAGGGAAGCCACCCTCCCCCACCTGGCTCTGCATCTCTATAAATAGCTGGGTTAGGAGGGAGTGATTTTGGAGGGAATGATCTTGTTTCTCTGGCCAGCACTGCCTGTCATGTCCCCTCCCCCAGGCTGTCCTCGGAGTGCAGCTGGTGGTGACCCTGCTCACTGCCACTCTCATGCACAGGCTGGCCCCACACTGCTCCTTTGCACGCTGGCTGCTCTGCAATGGCAGGTGAGCAACAGCCCCTCCCAGAAGTGGGAGGAGCCCGGCCTTCTCCAGTGCCCCTCAGCCCTGCCTTGGGCCCTGCTGGTAGTTTTTTCTCTTTGTTAAGATTTTATTTATTTACCTTTAGAGAGAGAGAGGAGGGGAGGGAGAAGGAGAGGGGGAGAAACATCAATCGATTGCCTCTCACATGCCCCCAACCAAGTATCCCACTCACTACCCAAGCATGCGCCCTGACTGGGAACTGAACTGGCAACCTTTTTGTTTGCAGCCTGGCCCTCGATCCTCTGAGCCATGCCAGCCAGGGCTGGTAGTTTTTTTTTTAAGCACTTTATTGAGATGAGTTAAATACAGCAAACTGCACATCGGGGAAGTGCACAGTTGGATCGGTTCTGACAGGTGCACACACGGGAGACCATCTCCGCCCCCAGAAGAGCAGCTGGTTCCCCCACTTCACCCCTCTTCCACTCCACTCTCGCTGTTAGATGTAGATGTTTCCCGAAGTACTTTTTGTCCCTGTTTGGGTCTGGGATTTGGTGGAAAGCGTGTACTCTCTCCTTAGTGTGCATACCCGCTGTGCTGAGCGAGTTAGCCAGCAGACACAGTAGTGTCCACAACCCCTGCTGCCCTGCCCCGGCCCACCTCCTGTGCCTTGCCCTGGGTTTCCACAGTCCCTGCTCCACCTGTCGCCAGGTGTGCTGGGGCACAGCCCTCCCTCTGGCTCCAGTCCTGGGTTTTGGGGTTCACTGCCTTGACATCCCCCTGCCTGTCTTTGCCCTCAGTCTCTTCAGATACAAGCACCCTTCAGAGGAAGAGCTCCGGGCCCTGGCAGGCAAGCAGAGGCCCAGAGGCAGGAGGGAGCGGTGAGTGAACCCCCAGCCTTAGGGGAGGTTGCCCACTGCAGGCACTGCTGTGGGCACAGAGGAGAATCCGGGACGCGCAGGCGGAATGGTTTTTATTGTCAGGCCTAGGCTGCCCTCAGTAGGCATCGAATACTTACAAGTTTGCTGTGGGAAGGCCCTGGGGTGGGTGGTGCCCACACTTGGGTGTTTAGGGGAAACCCAAACTGGGGGAGAAGGTACCTCCCCAGCCAGCTCCTGTGCTCTGTGGGTGGCACTTTGCACCTCCTGGGCTGGAGTAGGGAGAGGTGCGCTGGACTGGGAGGAGAGAAGGGAGGATGCTGCTCTGACTCCCCCCAACCCCTCCAGGTGGGCCAATGGCTATAGTGAAGAGAAGACTTTGTATGTCCCCCGAGATGCCCCTTTCCAGCTGGAGACCTGCCCCCTCACAGCCGTGGATGCCCTCGGTAACAGCCCAGTGACTCCCCAGCTCACCTCACTGCCCACACCCTGGCAGGGTGGGTGGGTAGGGGGAGGCCCTGGGGGCTCAGGGGAGGCCCTGGGCAGGCTGTCTCAACTGAGCAATGTGTCCCACAGTCCTGCGCTTCTTCCTGGAATACCAGTGGTTCGTGGACTTTGCCGTGTACTCAGGTGGCGTGTACCTCTTCACAGAGGCCTACTACTATGTTTTGGGCTCAGCCAGGGAGACCAATATTGCTGTGTTTTGGTGTCTACTTACCATCGCCTTCTCTCTGTATCCTTCCAGCTCCAGGTGGAGCAGGCAGGGGCATGTGGGAACCTGACTCCCCGCAATTAGTCATTGGTTATGGGCTGCCGTGACACAGGCCTCCCCCAAACTCAGTGGGGTAAAGCAGTCGCTATTTCATTTGCTTTCCTGGGCCAGGCTCAGCTGGATGGCTCGTCTGTACTCCCCATAGTGCCCCTTCTAGCAGGCTCTGCCAGGCTCCCACACCATAGCTACAGAAAGGCAGCAAGGAAGACAGGGCGCCATGGGCCTCCTGAGGCCTTGCCCCAGCTGGCCCGCCACGTCCCTGTCCATCCTCTTGGTCAAAGCAAGTCTCCAGGCCCACACAGATGTAGGGGTCAGCAAGGAGACACTCCTGCTACAATTTTTAATTTTTTTTACTTTATGCAATTAAAAATGTCTTATTTATTGATTTTAGAGAGAAAAACATCAATTTGTTCTGCTTATTTATGCATTTGTTGGTCGATCCTCGTATGCACCCTGACCTGAGATCGAACCTGCAGCCTTGGCCTGTCCAGACGACGCTCTCGCCCATTGCACTACACGGCCAGAGAAGTGGGCTTGGGAAGAAGGGAAGCCCATCCTGGGGTCCATACCTTCCTGAAAGCGCTGGGGTCTCTTCAGGGCAGGATGGGGACACAGCCCCGTGTCTGCCAGCTTCTCAGAGAAACGGCCGTGAGAGTGGCCAGGAGGCCAGGAGGGCCTCCTGAAGAGACTGACCTGTGGCTGTTTCTAACTGTCCATGCATGGAGTGGTGAGCCGAGCTGAAGCCCTGGCCTGGACAGGCCTGCCACGCGCATGACCCCGTGCTGCTGCCACAGGCGTGGGCAGCATTCTTGCGTTGTGTCCTGGGCTTGTTGATCAGCTCACTCTTCTCTTTGGTTGCTCCCCTGCTCCCCAGGACCCCAAACCTAAACATGGTGTCTGTGCTCTGGATTTGGGGTGTTGCTGGCTCGGGGTGGTGGAGTGGGCAGGGGCATCGCAGGTGGGAGCCTCCTTAACTCTGCTTCCAGCAAGGTGTTCCTGACAGTGACTCGGCTGTACTTTGGCGCTGAGCAGGGAGGAGAGCGCTCTGTCTGCCTCACCTTTGCCTTCCTCTTCCTGCTCCTGGCCATGCTGGTGCAGGTGGTGCCGGAGGAGACCCTCGAGCTAGGCCTGGAGCCAGGTACGTGCATCAGGGGTGTGGCGTGGACACCTGCCACTCCTTCTGTAAGCTGATGAGTGGGGGGTTTAAGTGGTTTGTTTTACCTGCACAGAAGTAAAAGATGTGACTCCTGGGGCCTAATAGTCTCCATGGGTTTCTACCCTCCTTGGTGCCCCTCTTGGCTTTGGGGATGAGAGGACGTCCAGTCTCACTCTGACGGACGCCAGTGGCTGTAGCTCTTCAGGAGACACTCCTGTTCCCCTCCAGTCTGCTCTCTACCCGGCAGCCACAGTGATTTAACATTTCCCTATTTTTGTTTAGTTTATGGGAGGAAATAGGTAAATGGTACACAATTCATAAAATACAAAAGTCTCTAGAGTGCAAATTACCCCTCCACACGGGTTATCCTCCCTGGGGGACACCCAGGTGCCGCTTTTCCTTTTTCACATGAAAAAGTAGTGCAGGTGTCTCTGCACCTTGTGTTTTTCCCTTAAAAGCAACAAATATTGGAGGTTGTCCCACGATGCACTTACGGTACTGTTTCTTGGGACAGGTACATGGTATTTCATCTTTTTTTACTTCTTCCTTTCTTTTAATGAACAGGTAGAGTTAGGGGAAAGAGGCTAGAATCCCCACTGAAGGTTAAAACCTTATCTCCTTCTCTCGAGAACTAAACTAAGGAGGGGACTGAGAAGGTGACAGTAAAGGTCAAGTTGGAGGTTAGTATTATAGTTAGAGATCCGTTCATGGGCCAGACTTCCTGGTCTCCCAGTTTGTATTGAGGCCAGGCAGTGTTGCAACAGAGAGTCAAGCACTTGGGCTCGAGGTCGGTAAGTCCCAGAGCCTTTAAGTTCTTTTTTTTTTAAATATATTTTATTGATTATGCCATTACAGTTGTTCTATTTCCCTCCTTCATTCCCCTCCACCCTGCACACCTCTCCCCCACCATTCCCCCCCTTCAGTTTATGACCACATGCCTCAAGTTCTTTAGATTCTATATTTCCCCTACTATTCTTGCCCTCCCCCCTATTTTCTACCTACCATCTATGCTTAAGTAGACATCCCAGTGGGGAGACCTTGGGCGGGGTCAGCTGAGCATTGCCCACAGTGAGAACCGAAGCTGGGTGGGGAGGAGGCTGTCCGGAGAGACCAGACAGGAGGAGAAGGATTAGGATCCTTCTCCTAAACCTCCAAGAGACAGGATTAGGGGGTGAGCCTGGGTAGAGCTTCTGCTGCCCACTGCTCCCCTAGTCACAGGTCTCAGCTGGCCGGAGGAGAGGGAGAAATGGAGATTGTCCCTATATGGGCCACCAAAATGTTAGGGTGGTTGGTGACGCAGGCTGTGAAAGAATTCACAGAGAGGAGAAAGATTTTATTCAGTCTCCAAGAAAGGAGAGGGGCGTGGAGTGGAGAGATGCACCAGCTGGTATTTCATCTTAAGGATGTTCTATTAATACTTACCCAGGCCCCTGTGTATGGACATCTAAGTCTTTTGCTATTAAGTGTTTTTGCACAAAATCATGTTGTTTACACAACAAGGATGTTTGGGAATAGCTTTGTGCCTGTGGCCCTGTGCAACAGAGTGTATTGGTAATTTTGATAATGTTGCAAATTGCCCTTCAGGAAAGGTGCCCCATCAAACCTATTTCCCCACATCTCCACCCCCCCACGCCGCCCCACAGTGTGTTTCCTCAGGCTTTTTTCATCTTGAGTAATCTAAGGGGTGAAAATATAAATGAGGCCGAGAATCTTTATATGCTGAAGAGCTATTTCTCTTTCCCTTCCAGAAACGGTCTGTTGTTTTGCCCAGTTTTTACTGGGTTGTGACCCTTTCATTGATTTGTAGGACCTCTTTCTTTCCGTATTAAGGAAATTAGCCTTTGTGTATGACAGGAGTTGCAAATATTTTTTTCTTGGTTTCTCATTTTTCTTTTCACCTTTTGTATTACTTGATCGGTCTTTTAAAAATATAATTTGGATCATGTTATTTCTCTGCCTGACACCAGACTTGAATGGTCCTTGGAAAAAGACCAAAGTCCTCACTGTGCCTGACACAGCCCTGTTGATTCCTTGAGCTTTATCTCTACCAATGATCCCTGCTCTTCTAGTTTTAAAATTATATAATGTTTGATGTACATAAAAGAACACATATGTGAATTACGAAGTAAAATAGTAATGTAAACACCCATGAACCCACCTCCCAAATAAGAGCTGGCCCATCCCCGCGGCTCCTGCGTGTGTCTGGTGCTCCTGGGTCCTGCCACCCTCCCCCTGTTCCCTGCCTCAGCCAGTCTCTCAGCTTTGTGTTCATCATTCCTTTTGCCTTAAAAACCAAACAGTTTCATCACGTGTGTTTCTGTCTCTAAAGAATTTATCGTGCAGTTTTACAATGTGTCGTCTTCCAGCCGGGCTTTGCTGTCTCTCTGAGACTGTTTCCAAACCAGGCTGTGTGGGTCTGGGGGCCTTTGCTCGTCTCTCGGAACCATGGATGATGTGGTCAGACTCCGCTCCTCTCTGCTCGCCCTTTCTCCTGTCAGTGGACATTTACGTGGTCTCCAGAGTTTAGCTTTTTCCAGCTGTTACAGGGAACATTCTGGTACATAGTTCCTCATACTCATGGGCAGGTGCTTCTTTTGGGTGCAGACTTGGGGACCATGGGACATGTGTACCTTTATGAGATGGTGCCCGAGCATTATCAGAGCAATTTTTAGCACATCCACCAGCCATGTGGCCTGGGGTCCAGAGCATGGACGCAGGGTTCAGGCTGCCCACTGAGTCTCAGCTGGTTGGATTCCCAGTCAGGGCACATGCCTGCACTGTGGGCCTGGTCCCTGGTTAGGGCCTATGCGAGAGGCAACCGATCCATATCTCCCTCCCTCTCTTCCCCCCTCCCCATAAATAAATAAAATCTTAAAAAAAAAATTATGGTACTGGTCTAGCCATGTAGAATGATGCCTTCTGAGTCTCGACGTGCATTTTTCTAGTGACCTGTGGGGGCGCAGGGGCGTTAAGCCTCTTTTGCTGTTTGTTTTTTTCCTCTTGTTTCCTAGTTATTCATGATTTTCTTTCCTTTTTTTGTCAAAAACCTGTTCACATTGTTGCCCCTTTTTCTTTCAGGTTGTTTGTGTTTTTAAAAATTTTGTTTGTGGTAAAATATACATAATATTAACATTTACCATTTTAACCATTTTTAAACCATTTTTAAGTGTATGGTTCAGTGGTGTTCAGTCCATTCACAGTGCTGTGTGACTGTCCCCACCATCCATAGAAATTTCTAATTTTGCAAAACTGAAACTCCGTCCCCATTAAGTGCTAACTTCACCCCCACCCCCTAGCCTCTGTCATCCACCGTTCCACTCTCCGTGAGTCCGACTACTCTAGGACTTCCGAAAGGGGAATCATACAAAATTTGTCCTTTTGTGACTGGCTTATTTCATTGAGCTCAGTATTCTCAAGGTTCATCCATGTAGCTGGTGTTAGAATGCCCTTCCTTTTTAATGCTGCATAATATTCCAGTGTATCAATGGACCACATTTGGCTTATCTATTTACCAACCAATGGACACTGACGTTGCTTTCATAGTTTGGTTCTTTTGAAAAATGTTGCTATGAATATGTATTTACACATACCATTTTGCACCCTGCTTTTTTTTGTCTTAAACAACAGCAACATTTGTTTTGCTTCAAAACTAGCCAAAAATTCAAGAAACATTTTTAAAAGGTGACAGTGCCAATGAATTAAAACAAGAGTATTTAGCCCTGGGTTTAAGTGCCATACACCGAAAGGTCATGGCTTTGATTCCCAATCAGGGCACATGCCTAGATTGTGGGTTTGGTCCCCAGGTGGGGCACATACAGGAGGCAACTGATCGATGTTTCTCCCTTACATCACTGCTCAGTGTATGTGTGTTGGGTCTCTTCCCCCTCCCGCTCCCTCTTTCTCTCTTTCCCTTCCTCCCTAAAATCAATAAACATATTCTTGGGTGAGGATTTAAAAAAAAAAAAAGAGCCCTAACTGGTGTGGCTCAGTGGCTTGAGTACTGGCCTGCGAACCAAAAGAGCACAGGCCCATGTTGTGGGCTGGGTCCCCAGTTGGGGGCAAGCAAAAGGCAACCAATAAGTGTTTCTCTCACACGTCAGTCTTTCTCTCCCTTGCTTCCTCTCTTCTCCTCTTTCTGAAAATAAATAAATAAAATATTAAAAAAATAAAATAAATATGATAAACAGTATTCTTTCAGTCAGATAGATTTCGGAGGCCCCTCTGCATCCCTATCATATGTCATTTCCATGACTATATTTTTTTGTTTTTTTTTAGTATTTTTATTATTTTTTAAAATTTTTATTTATTTATCTTTAGAGGGGAAGGAAAGGAGAGAGGGAGAGAAATATCAATGTATGGTTGTTTCTCATGCATCCCCTGCTGGGAACTGGCCCCTGCTGGGAACTAGCCTGCAACTCAGGCACGTGCCCTGAATGGGAATTGAACCAGAGACCTTTCAGTTTGTGGGAGGATGTGCAGCCAACTGAGCCTCACTGGTCAGGGCTGTGCGTTGTCCTTTTACTCCACTGATAGTATCTTTTAATTCACAACATTTTTTAATTTTCATGAGGTTCAGTGTTTGAAACTCTTTTCTTTTGTTACCTATGCCTTTGGTGTCATATCTAAGAACTCTTTGCCAAATCTAGTGTTGCGAAGTGTTTGCTGAGCTATATGTCTTTGTTTTTCTTTTTGATTTGTAGGGTTTCTTTATATATTCTTGGTCCTGATCCTTTGTTGAACATGTGGCATATACTTCATCCTATCAAATTTGACACCATTATTTCATGAACCACCAAAAAAAAAGATAAAAAACATTGTTAATTAAACAAGTGTATGCTATTAATTATTATATGTATCCCAATTTTAGAGAAGTTAAAATGTGAAAAAAATGTGTGTCTTGATACTGATTGATCTATTCCCCATCTCAAAGCAGTCATGAATAAAATTAGGTTAAATGCAAAAACAGAAAGTATATCATGGAATTAAATTATCAATTTGTGGTGAGAATTGGGACAGCGAACGCTTCCACTGTCTCTGCTTTTTTTTTTTTTAAGATTTTATTTATTTATCTTTAGAGGGGAAGGGAAGGAGAGCGGAAGAGAAACATCAATGTATGGCTGCCCCTCATGTGTCCCCCTTGGGGTACCGGCCTGCAACCCAGGCACGTGCCCTGGCTGGGAACCAAACCACGATCTTCTGGTTCACAAGCCCACGCTCAATCCACTGAGCTACACCAGCCAGGGCTGCTTTTTTTCTTTAAAATGTTTTTCTCAGCCTGGCTGGTGTGGCTCAGTGGATTGAGTGCCATTCTGGGAAGTAAAGGGTCACAGGTTCGATTCCCACTCAGAGCACATGCCTGGGTTGCAGGCCAGGTACCTGGTAGGAGGCGTGTAAGAGGCAGCCACACATTGATGTTTCTCTCCCTCTCTTTCTCCTTCCCTTCCCCTCTCTCTAAAAATAAATAAATAAAACCTTTAAAAAATAAAATATTTTTTTCTCCAGCAGAGAAGTTGATAGAAAGCTCTAATGATGTCATATGCTCTTGACCTAGATTCATCTGACCGCATGTGCACTGTTTGCCGTGCACACACCACACTTATTTTGGCTCAGCCTCTGAATATAATTGCTGCCAGAACTTCTGGTGTCTTTTGATGAACAGTTTTCCTTCCACTCTCAGTGATCACAAAGACGGTGTGTATTTTCTTCCAGAACATTTCTTTTTTTAATTTATTTTTCTTTAGAGGGGAAGGGAAAGAGAGAGGGAGAGAAACATCAATGTGTGGTTGCCTCTCTTGCGTCCCCTGCTGGGAACTGGACTGCAACCCAGACATGTGCCCTGACTGGGAATCGAACCTCGATCCTTTGATTCACAGGCCTGAGCTCAATCCACTGAGCTATACCAGCCAGGATTCTTCCAGAAGATTTCAAGTTTCATCAAGCCCTTAAACTCCTGGAAGTTCACTTTTATGTTATGAATAGGGATCACACTGACTTTTTTTCCAGGACATAATCTTGAGAAACAATTGCATTTTTAGTGAATCGTGGGTTCTTTTCCAATCCTCATTTTATGTGGCTGGGACTTGTGGACTTTAGAGCAGACTCTGGTAGACTTCCTTTTCTTGTTTCAGTTTCTTAGTTGGCTAATCAATTCACTAATTTTCAGCCTCTTTCTGTTTGTAGCAGTTAAGGGTATTAATATTTTCTAAATCCCATTCTGTCTACCCCAAAGTTTTGACTTGTATTTTCATTATCATGCATATTTTGTTTTCATTGTGAGTTTTAACCTTTTTTAAAAACTTCAAACATGGAACTTAAAAAAAAATTTATTTATTTGTGGCTTAATGGCACTATGGTTGCAGAAGATGGTCTACTTGAAATAAATCCTTGCACATTTGCTAAAACTTGGCTTATGGCCTAAGTTCAATCAGTTTCTGTGTCTGGCCCACGTGTTCTGGAAGAAGGTCATGTTCACTGCCTCCCCATGTGTGGTGAGTTTCAATCTCCTCTGGAAGAGAGGCCTCCATTTCTATAGCCTTTCCAGTTTTCTTTTGATTAGTATTTATTATGCCTTTTTAACATCTCTTTTCTTTCAACCTTCCAGTGACCTCGTGTTGAGGTATGTCTCTAAAACACACGTAGCTGGGTCTTTTCAGTCAAGGCCGACCATCTATGTTGTTAACTTCGACATTTAATCTGCTTGTGATTAATGTGATTAGACATACTCTGCCTTGTTTCTGCCATCTATTTTACATCTGTTCCTTTTCTGTTGTTACTGTTGACATTGGCTGCCAGCCCAATTGTTCTTCCTTTATAGGTGATCTTGTCTTAACTCCCTGGCTACTTTGCAGGCTCTTTGTTTTGTGTGTTCTCCAGTTTCACCAGTATGTCTAGGTATGGATTCCTTTGTATTTGTCTGCTTTGCTGTCCTTTGTGTGTGGCACCCGTTCTGCAGACTTCTCAAGTATTCTCTTGCAGTGCGCCCTCTCCTCTTTCATTCTCTCTCTCTCTCTCTCTCCCTTTTCGGGGCTCTGACCTGATTTTTGCTGTCCTTTTATTCTGTCCTTACTTCTCTATCTCCCTTCATATTCCCCTCTTCTTGTCTTTCTGAGTTGGAATCTGAGTAACTGCTTCAGATCTAATTCATGAATTCTTCTTTGGCCGTTTCTAAAATCCTGTTTAATAACCTATCATTTCCGTAATTGTATTTTCCCTTTGGAAGAACTTAACGGGCACCTTTGCAAATCTGCCTGATCATCTAAGGTAGGCTTGTGTCGCCTGTTCTGTGATTCCAGCTTTTGTTTTCCTCTGTCATTTCCTATGTGATTGATGACACCCATTTCTGAACTTCTCTGGGGGCTGCACTTTTCTTTTGCCGACTCTCCTTTCTAGTGATTTGTTTCCTTGTGTGTTTGGTGATTTTGGTTGTGAGTTCGTGTTGACTTGTTTTTACTCTGTGGAAAAGCTGGGGGATCCCTCCCAGGACTCTGGTTTTCTCCTGCGGGAGCCCATTGCATCCCCCGATTCCTGGTGTGATCCTGTAAGCTCCTATTCGGTGCTCCTTCCCCTGTGTCCCCCAGTCCAATCAAGGGTCTGCCTGGCACATTCTGTTCTTTGAAAAGAGCAACATGTCACTAGAGTGCTAAAGCCCTGGGCATGGGGCCTGGGGGTCCACCAGTGCGTTCCTATTTGAGAAGCAAAAGACATCTTAGAGGTGGTCAGAGAAGGCTCTGAGGCCCCAGGGGTCTACACTACTCCACCCTTCTCCTTGTCTTTGCCAGGCCTGGCCAGTGTGACCCAGAACTTGGAGCCACTTCTGAAGTCGCAGGGCTGGGACTGGGTGTAAGTCCTGGGAAGGGAGAGGGGGCAGGGGCAGGCTGTGCCCTGCTGGCAGGGGCTGACAGGCCGTGGGGTTCCCTTACCCATCTCTTCTTCCCAGGCTTCCCCTGGTCAAGCTGGCCATCCGTGTGGGGCTGGCTATCCTAGGCTCCATGCTGGGCGCCTTCCTCACCTTCCCAGGCCTGCGGCTGGCCCAGACCCACCGAGATGCACTGACCATGTCGGAAGACAGGCCCGTGCTGCAGTTAAGTGGGGGGTTAGGGAGCCTAGGGGAGAGGAAGGGGAGATGGCAAGTGGCTAGGCCTCACCCCTGCGTCCTTTCCCCCAGGTTTCTCCTGCATACCAGCTTCCTGTCACCCCTGTTCATCCTGTGGCTCTGGACCAAGCCCATTGCACGGAACTTCCTGCACCAGGCACCCATTGGGGGCACACCCGTCTCCCTGTGCGTATGTGGGTGGGGCCAGGAGGGAGGGCAGCTGGGTGGCCCATCTGTGTACTCTAATCTCTGAGGCTCAGGGAGGAGCCTCAGGAAAACTCTGGGTCCTGGGGTAAGGCCCCGGGGCAGAGGGGGCCTCATCAGCCCCCTCTACTGCGTAGGCTGTCGGACTCGGCCTTTGACTCACTACGCCTCTGGGTGTTGGTGGCACTGTGCCTGCTGCGGCTGGCAGTGACCCGGCCCCACCTTCAGGCCTACCTGTGCCTGGCCAAGGGCCGCGTGGAGCAGCTGCGGCGGGAGGCCGGCTGTATCGAGGCCTGCGAGATCCAGCGGCGGGTACGGGGGCCTAGAGGAGGGAACCTGGGGTGTGGGGCAGGCCTTCCAGTCCTCCCAGGCATGGGGCCAGCCAGCATGCAGAAGGTCACCTGCCACTGCTACCTGTCCACCAGGTGGTACGGGTCTACTGCTACCTGACGGTGGTGAGCCTGCAGTACCTGACACCGGTCATCCTCACACTCAATTGCACGCTTCTGCTCAAGACACTGGGTGAGAGGAAGAAGCCTTCCGGGGAGAGGGTGGGCTGTAGGTCCCTGAGGCCACCCTGACCTCAGCCCCCCTCCCTCCCCTTCCTGCCACCCCTCATCCTCCTGCCCCTCCATCCCCCCATTCCACTCCCCTCCCTCCCTCCCTCCCTCCCTCCCTCCACTTCTTTCTCCCTCTACTCTCTACTCACAGGTGGCTACTCTTGGGGCCTGGGCCCAGCCCTCCCCCTATCCCCAGTGCTGGCAGCAGCTCGAGATGGCCCAGTGGGCCCCAAGGAGGACGAGGCCCAGCAGGTGGTGGCCCAGATCACTGGGGCGCTGGGTGGCCTGCTCACGCCCCTCTTCCTCCGTGGCACCCTGGCCTTCCTCGTCTGGTGGACTGCTGCCTGCCAGCTGCTGTCCAGCCTCTTTGGCCTCTACTTCCACCAGCACATGGTAGGCTCCTAGCCACCTGAAGACACTCCTAGGGCCCCAGGGTCACCCCCTGTGTGCGCACCTCAGTGTACCCAGGTGCAAGTGGGCCTGGGAGTTCCCACCGTGCTCACCTCCTCACTGCAGTGCCTAAGCAGGACCCCCTGGACTCCGAGCTTCTGTCTTGAAACTATATCCTAACCCGGTGGCAGAGGGCCCCTCAGCCATCGTTCCTGGATTGCATGTGGACATTCAGGTTTGATAGCAAGCAAGAGAGACATTCCTCTGAATAACTCTGGGGCGGCATTTTACAAACAGGGAAGCCGAAGGGCCCATGGTGCTGGGCTGGGCCACAGTGGCTACTGCCCTCTGCCACAGGTGCATGGGACTGCTTTCCTGTAACGATCACTCACAGGCCAGTGAGCACATTGTTGAGGTCGTGGTGACCCAGGGGATGGAGGATGAGGGGCCTTCTCTGACTCCAGCATTTTTCTGTCACCGTGGCTGCAATGGGAGCCTGGGTGTGTGTGTGTGTGTGTGTGTGTGTGTGTGTGTGTGTAACAACATACGTGTGTATAACAACGTATGTGCGGCTGAAAACCCAAAATTCAACAGTACATTTTAATTATTTTAATTGGTTTTATTCAATGACTCATGAATCAGGCAGCATCTTATGCTTTTGGTATGTGGATAAATATGAAAAGTGTATTAAAAAAAGGGATAAAACTTGGGCTGAGGCCAACTAAACACATCATCCGATTCTGATCCTTCTCAAATGCCTAACTACAGAGGCTGCAGTGTGTACTGAAAGGTGGAATTAAGGGAGGAACCACAACTGACTGCCAAACCCTAAGGCCAGGAAACAGCCCCATTTACCTGTAGAACGTTCCAGAGGCACTGAACGCACCAGGTCCTTATAGGTGAGGCTGAGGGAGGGAGGAGACAGAGAGGCTGCTGGTGTGAGAGCTGTTTGGAAAGTTCTCAGGTGCATGTGTCCCTCCCACAACACCGCTGCACAGCCAGGACGGAAGCCAGGCTGGTAGGAAGCGTGGTGGCAAACGGGGTTAGGCGGCTACACATACGAATGCTAAATGGAGAGCGCCACGGCCCCTTGCCCTGCCTGTGGAATTTGGAACCTTCCAGGCATGAAACTGAAGAACTCTGGGGAATCCAGCTGGTCCGAGAAGGATCTAATGACAGGGGCAGCACGGAGTTTCCATCAGCCACCAGGTCAGCTGTGAGTCCATGTGTCCCCACACTTGTTTGGTCTTCCACCCTGCTTGTCTCGGCCATGTTCCTCACTGTGAGCAGACAACCAGGAGGACCCAGGGATCTGAGGAAGTGTCTGGTGTGGGAAACAGACCCAAACAGAAAAAAAAACAACTTTGGGAAATGGACTCTACAGGGAGGGGAGAACTTAAAAAACAGTCTAGAATGTTCTCGGAGAAAAGAGATTGTACTCGTGAAACAAGAATGCTACCATAGCCCTGGCTGGTGTGGCTCAGTGGATTGAGTGCCGGCCCGTGAACCGAAAGGTCACCGGTTCAACATCCTGTCAGGGCACGTGCTTGGGTTGCAGGCCAGGTCTCCAGTTGGGTGCGTGCAAGAAGCAACCAATCAATGTGTCTCTTGTACATGTTTCCCTCCCTCCCACCCCCTCTCTTTAAAAAATAAAATAAAACAAACAAACAATGCTACCAAAAAGGAACACCTGAGGAAAGTTTTGTTTTCTTTCTGAGCTCTTGGAGATTAAAAGAAGATGGAAGACAGCCTTGGCTGGTGTAGCTCAGTGGATTGGGTGCGGGCCACCCTGCAAACCAAAGGGTGGCCAGTTTGATTCCCAGTCAGGGCACATGCCTGGTCGCTGGTGGGGGCCGTGTGAGAGGCAACCACATGTTGATGTTTCTCTCCTCTATCTCATTCCCCTCCCTTAAAAATAAAATACGTAAGATAAAATTGTAGGAATCTTACAGAAGGAACAAGAATAAAAGATAAGCAAGGCAGCCCTGGCTGGTGTAGCTCAGTGGATTGAGCATGGGCTGCGAGACAAAGGGTCGCGGGTTCAATTTTCTTTCCCTCCCTCCCTTCCCCTCTCTCTAAAAATAAATAAAACCTTTTAACAAGAACTGATCAAGAGGAAATTAGAAAATTAGCTCAAAGAAGACTCCAAAACAGCGTCTGGCAGGAGAGGTCCAAGCAGACACAGACAGGCACTCCATGGGATGATGCCATGGAGTAATGCAAAGGGCTCGCCAGGACCAAAAAGTCCCAGGGCCTTTTGCTGCCCTGACTGTCACCCCTGAGTGACAAGAACACTGTCCCAAGACATGTCTCTGAGAAGTTTGGAACAAAGGCAGCTCCTAGTGAGGACGGAACAGGCCACACCTAGTGGCCCAGGAATCAGTTGACGAGTGTCATCTTCCGACTCTGCAGGACCTGCACTACCTGGCACTTTAGGAGTCACCAGGGACTCCCTGTCAGCTGACGCCTGGGAGCCCCAGCCCACTGCGCACAGTTCCTGCAGCGGTGCCTCGGGCTACCTTGCCCTGCTCTTGACCCACCACAACTGTGCATGCTTTCTGCTTTGGAGCTCAGTACCGTGCAGTCTGGAGACACGGGAAGATAGGCACGCCACAGACAAGGAGTGACAGACACAGACATCAGGCACAATGGGGTGGGTGCAGTGCTCATGGGGCGGCTGTGGCAGGAAGAACCAGTGACAGTTACAGCCCTCACTGTCTTGCATCAGACCGCAGAAACTGACAGACTCTCCATGGCACATTTCACACACACAATAAAGAAGCTCAGAATGAAAGAATACGGTGGAACCACAGTGACAGAAAAACAGGGAAGCCTGAGGTGGTGGTAAAAACGCTGCATTTTCAGGCAGAGGTAAGTATTTTAGTTTTTGTTGACAACAGCAACTAGCACATATTGGTGCTACTCAGAGACGCTATTAAATGTCTGGAGAGACTTGATTGTCACAATAGGAGGGAGGGAGGCCAGGGATGCTGCCCAACACCCCACGTGCCCAGGATGGTCCCCAACACAGAAGAACCTGACCCCAGACATCGGTAGCACTGAGGTTGAGAAACCTACATCACAAGAAACAGACTATATAATTTCCAAACCAGCTGAAGAAAAGGAGGTGAACATAAAAAACAACCCCCCAAAACAAATGTTAACGCAAGAAAAGTTAGGGAAGGAGAAAACTAGTGCAAAGACAAGATCCCACAAACTGAAACGGGACTCGGGGCGTGCCTACATGCGTCTGCAACAACCTCACTTTGTCAAGTCCTCCAGCCTTCTGCTCGCTGTCCATACCCCACTGGTCACCACCTGGCCGCCACCTGCCTCCCTGGCTGCCACTACGGCTCCCCGTGGTCCCAGCCAGAGGCTCCTCTATCCCTTCTCCCTGCCCCTCCATCCTTACTTGTTCATTCAGCAAATCTCACTTTCATTTCTGTGGCCCTCAGCATCTTGGGCAGCTTGGCCAGCATGTCCAGTGCTCTTGACCTTCCCCTACGACCCCTCAGTCACATGAGCTCCATCTTTTCTGTTACCTTTCTCTTCCTCCTCATACCCAGCCTATCGGGAGACCTGGGAACCAGCAACATCTTAAAAACCACTGTGACCCAAACATCCACCCTGCCACCACCCTGCTCAGCCTACACTGCTTGTTCCCCTTGCCCATGGCTCTGCCCAGTGGCCAGAAAGGGTCCCTGTGAGAGACCCTTCATTCCCTGAGGAGCTGCCTCAGTTTGGGAGCATGAGGGCTTTGAAGGGTGCCCAGCTCCTACGAGAAAAACTCAGACTTCCTGCCATGCAGACTCTGCTAGAACAGAGCTGGGGGAAGCCGTATGTATGGGCCGCAACTTAGAGAGGGACCGGTTCGCCAGCGGCTTTGTCCATTCTGGCAGCTGTGACACAGTGCCATAGCCTGGGTGGCTGACAGTGAAGGAAAGTGATTTCTCGCTCTTCTGGGGGCTGGAAGTCCAAGCCCAGGGCACCGGCATGGCCAGGAGAGGACCTGCTTCTAGGCTGTAGATGCCACTTCTCATGCAGTGGAGGACGAGCGGGTAGCCAGCTCTTTGGTGTGACTCTTGTAAGGGCACCAATGCCATTGGGAGGGTCCCAGCCTCCTGCCCCGTCTGCCCCTAAGCACCTTCCCAAGCTGCACTTCCTAACAGCCATGTTGGCTTTAGGTTTCAACACAGGGATTTGGGGAGCCGGGGGAGACATTGGTCCATGACAGCCTGGAGAAGATGAAATAGCCAGAACCTGCCCCCCTCCAATGTCTTGGAAAACAACACAGGCTGAGAAGGCAGAAGAGTCATAATAACCAAGGCAAAGACGATACAATCTTAATGGAACTCGAGGAATTATCAGAAGTCATCTGGAGGCAATAATTTCCTAGCAAGACACAAATTAGGGACCTGGGTCTGGTCTCCAGGTTGAAGGCAGATGCCTGGGCTGGGCCTGGGTAGCTCTTGGTCCCACCCCTTACCCAGAGTCCTCTGGAACCTCAGCCTACACACCTCGCATCCAGAACCAAGCCTGGCTCCCTGCCTGAGCTCCCGCCTCCACCTTCCCTCATTTGCTCAAACACCCTTCTCAGCTCCCAGTATCAATTTCAGGGCTGTTGCCTGATACCCACCCGGTGGGGAATTCCCAGGCCTCGGGGCTTTTCCCAGCACCCCAGGTAGGGTCTTACCTCCCCTCATCTGGCCCCCAGGATTCCGCCTGCCTCCCAGGCTCCACAGTGTATTTTTAGATGTTTTGCATCAAGAGCCAGAGCAGCATCACGCATTGTGTTGCCCACCCCAAGAAGAACTCCCCAGGGGAGACACGAGTCTGGGAACCTTGACTCAGCCCTTCCTGGAGGTGCTCGAGGCCCACTGCACACAGGGACTGGGGGGCAGTTGCATGAAGAAGCTGTGGCCACTTCTCTCCAATGTGTCACTGTCACACCCACTGCTGCCTTGCCGGGGCACAAAAACACAAAACACAAGATTCCTGTTCACATCACTCGAGATCATCTTCCTCAACTACCGGGCCTGCTGTCTTGGGTGGCAGTGTTCGAACAATTAAGAGAAGGGAAATAAAGGCCAGCACTTGTGAAGAGACGCCCTGCCTCTCGAGGGGTCACAGGAGATGTGACTAAAACAGCAAGGAGGTACCACTGGCACCCCCAAATGGGGAGTCAGGCTGCCAGCCAGGATGTGGCTTGAACCATGCACAATGCCTGTTGGCACCTGAGTTTACACAGCTGGGCTGGGGACCACTTTGGCGGTGCCTGGAGAGGCGGGTCCACTGATGGTAGCCGGCTGGCCCCTCAGGGACATGTCCCGGGATATTCTCACCCTTGGGTGCAGGAGCCTGGGTGGCAGTCACGGCGTCATTTCTGACCTCAAATAGCTCACCCGGGAATGAGTAAATACATGGGGTTAAACTGTAAATAAGTAAATACCGCGTCGCTCACCACCTCCACAGGAGGCTCTCACTTCCGCCTTGGACAGCGTGCCCTAAATGCCACTGCCACTGGGAGACCTCTGGTGGCCTCTCCCTCCTGCACCCAAGGCCTTACCCAGCGGCGGAGCAGAGCCCCCAGCACAGGCCAGACGGTGTGGGAGAGACACCTCAGGCCTTTGGGGCCGTGCTTGCAGAGTGGGCGCAGCCCATCCCAACCAACCTGGGTCCCCGACCTGTGTGTGCACCAGGTCTCCGGAAGAAGGGCACGCGATGAACTGATAACAGGGATGACCCTGCAGGAGGGCCTGGGAGACCCGCTTACTTGGTAAAGGCTTTCATGCAGTTTTCATGTTCTAGAAAACTATAGTATGAATTACCAGTTCAAACAATTACATTTTGAAAACGTTTTATTCATGACTTTATTCAAAAATCTGTCAAAATAACTTCAACCCTGTTTTTGGTTCCTGGAGGAGACTAAGAAAAGAGCCAGGGGCAGGAGGAAAAGTCATTTTAATTTTTTATTAAATATACTCTCTTGACACAAATCTTTAAAATATATAAACATTATTTATAAACGAAGTGTCTTCATGGCATCAAAATAACTCCAGACCAGGGCAGGCAGCCGGTGGGGAGGGGTATGGCCTCGGAGGGTGCCAACCAGGCCCTGTGTTGGGGCTGGAGGAGTGGTGACGGCGCTGGTGAGGCCCAGGGGCTGGGAGCCACCTCGGGGAGGCACACAGGACCTGGAGGGCCCTCCTGCCCCTACCCAGCCTGCAGCTCAAAGGAGGGTGCTGCCCAGCCAGCCACCTGGTCTCACCTGCCTGGGGCAGACCCCTAGTTCCTGCTGCTTTCTCTAGCCCAGGGCCCTGGGGCCTCCATCCTGTCCCCCTGTGAGGCATGGCCCTGCCTCTCCCGAGCACTGGGCAAGACTGGGAGTGGTGAGACACCCAACAGGACAGTATCACACGCTGCTTGGGCCCCTGGGGACAAGAGTCTGGGAATGATACTGGGGCTGGCCAGCGAACACATGCAAGAAAAGGCACCTCACAGGTCCAAGGCAAGAACAGACATGGAACAGAACGAAGAAATCACAGTCACGACTGGAGATGCATGTGAGGCAAGCGCTAGACCATTCCTCACATTGTGGGCTGAGCCAGCCTTGTCCTGACACCAGACTGGGCTGGTTAGGCAGAGGGTCGGCCGAATTCTAAAACCAAAGTCAAGAATCTCCAAACGTCATTAGGAAATGGGTGTTTCTGAGTCCCTGTGACACAGAAGGGCCCAGGAACTTCTCGGCAAGACCAGATACCTGGGA